GTGGCTTGCGCTGCAATCGAAAAAGCTGCTCAAAGTCATCCGAAAGTTCTGTCAATGGATCATTAATGAAGCCACGATCCAACCGATCGAACAACAAGTCATATGCATCATCACTTAACATCTGATCCATCGTCATGTCCTCCACCAAATCCCATGCCTTGCCAGTCCTCGAAGTGATCAAGTTGTAAACATCTTCACTCGACCGATAGCCAGTCTGCATTTTCTTCCGATAAATTTCACAACGTTTGCGAAACTCTCGATAGTCCTGCATCTGATTGCTGAAAACTGGAACGTAAGTGTCCAACTTGGCTGTGCTGACTCCGGAAGGAACCTGTCGCTGCCCTGCAGAACTTGATGTCTCTGGACCGTTTGCGGTTTGCGGTAGCACGACCAAAAAACACAACGCTCAACCAAACAATGTAAGTCAATGATCAACACAACTCCACTCGCGAAAACCAGCCCACGAAGTCCGGCCCGCACACACAAAGGCCTCACAGCCTTTTCACTCAACCATGGCGTCGCCTCTAAGCTCAAGTGCCCACCCACTCTCGTACCGAAAGGGTCAACATCATGTAGACTTCATCAGCACTGGTGTTTCCTGGATAGAAATTCACACACTGTAAATTACAGTGTTTTTGCAACATGTATGTAGTTTAGGAACAATGGTGCTCGTATTCTGGTGATGCCATGGTGCTGGACACTACTGCCACCTCAAAACTGGATCTCCTCTTAGCATACCTGGTTCTCCGGAGATAAAGCGAAGCCTGTCAGTTTGGAATGAAAGAATAAGACGGAAAGAAGAGGAATGACACCAGATGAAGGTATACGGATGATGAGTGTCGAAGTACAGGAATAAGTGAGTGAGTGAGTGAATGAATGGGTGGGTGAGTGCGCAGGTGATAGGTGTGCTTCTCTCCCCTTAAACAGCAGTACCTAGGATCAAAGTGCTATCCAACAAGATCTTGATCTAATAGCGATGGCCTCTAACCTGATAGCAGGAACCTAAGTGCAATGGCCTCCATCCAACCTAGGCAACCTTGAGCCTGCAATGTTGCAAATCTGCTGGTGTGAGTTGAGTCGGTGTTAGAAGGGTGAGGAGGAGGTGGTGCAGCGCAACAGTAATAAGAAAAGGAATAGTAATAAAATTGCACAAAAAGAAAAAGAGAGAGAGAGAGAGAAAGGCAGTCAAGGAATCAAGTGTATTCTGTTCTTGTTTCTTTGAGAGGTACTTGGGTCCGAGATGTGAGGACCCTTCCTATTCTTTGCTTCGCTTCTCATGGTCCTTTTTCTCCTTGTTTTCTTTCCATTCTGCTTCCTCTTGTGTCCTGTCTTTCTTTCTTCCTTTCGTCTATCCCTTATTCCGACGGGGTTGGCAACTGCTCAAATTGACCGTCTGGTTTCTGACTTTAAAACAAAAATCACAGAGTTCTGTTCAATCAGTGTCTCAACCCAACTTGGTTATCCAAGCTCCAAAACCAAGTGCTACCGACTACTAATGCCGATGGCCTCCAACCTACTAGCGATGGCCTCCTAACAGCTATATACTTACTGCTACGTGCACAAAAAGCTGCTCCTCATCGTTGGCACAAACGCAGTTCAATGTGAGCTGCCCTGGAGCTGTGTGTCAATGCCAGCGAGAGACCAAAAAAATCTGCTCAACTAAGTGGGTGAACATGTGGCCACGTCCAAACCACACCATTAAGGGATCTTCACCAAACTGGAGTTTGCTCAGCTGGGCCAGACCACAATTGTAGTCCAATTTCCTGTGCTCATTGGTAATCTTGCATATCTTTGTCTAGCCTATTGGATATGGCTCAGCTCCCAACCCACTTCAGTCACGGCGCGTTTGGTCCACTGGGCCTTACATGAGAACAAAAATTGTAAAGAGAGAAGGAAGGAAAAAAAGTGAAATTTCTTTTCAAGATCTTGTTAACAAAGAGAGAGAGAGAGAGAGAGAATGAGAGAATGAATGAAGTCGATCGCCGGCAAGGGTAGCTGAGTTGAAAGCCTTCGAAAGGCTTTGACCCGAAACCTATGTCTGTTGAGTAGTAGTAATAGCATTTAATGTCTGTTCCCTAAGTTAGGCATTCCTTTTTGGTGATCCTTCTTCTGCGCTTCCCAATCTCGTCTGGTTTTCTGAGTTTGGGGTTCTCACCATCAGCGTTTCCCTTGGTTCGGAGCTCACTCGTTCACCTCCACTCAGGAAAGGTGGCAATAAGCCTTTAAGGATGCATGGGATGCAAAATCCAATCTTCACAGGTCGTGCACTTACTAGTTGCAAGTCACAGGCTTGCTTGCCAACGAAGCTGACATTCGGGGGCATCCGTTCCAAATACGGACCTCATGTACCTGGTGTTATCGTTGTTGTGACCTGGGCTATGGGGATGCTGTTGCAAGTAATATGTCCTTCACGGTCCTTCCCTCCTCTCTCCTTCGCCGCTTGTGCGCTCATTTTAAACATTTCCTTGGACGCCCTGTTTCACATGTAAGCCATGGCCTCCAACCTAGAAGCGTTCTAGCATGTAAGCTGTAAGCTGTATAATTTAATCTTTATCTTTAGTGTACCCCGTTCTTGGCCTTGGAATGGATGGCACGCTTCAAGCCAGAAGCGTGCCAAGCCAAGAGAAGTGCACTGCTTTACTCGGGCTCTTGATGTATCCAGGTTTGTGGCATCCCACCATCTCATCTTTGGTTTTTGTAGACTCTTTCAACAGTGTGTGTGTGTAGATAGCTCCAGAATTGGTAGAAGGTGGGTGGGGCTCCCTGCACGTTTGTCCTTCTTTGCTTCAATTTGACCTCGGCGTTCACAAGGGCGTTCAACAGCATCCGACATAACCCAGCTACTCCAGGTGAGCCCTCCACTTAATGAAGTGATCTCCTTGAAGAGCCAGCGGGTGGCCTGGCGCACACTGTGGGCGCAAAGAAATAGAATGCATGTAACAAGAGTGATGATATGTCCCGGTGATACGTGGGTACGTGAGTATAGTATGGCATATAGTCACCCGCATTCTGCCAAAGCCTCTCCCGTGCCTTTAGAACAAATCTAATAGCTTCTTGTTACTAGCAGCGATGGCCTCCAACCTAGTAGCGATGGCCTCCACCTAGTAGCGATGGCCTCCAACCTAGTAGCGATGGCCTCCAACCTAGTAGCGATGGCCTCCACCTAGTAGCGATGGCCTCCAACCTAGTAGCGATGGCCTCCACTCAGCGATGGCCTCCAACCTAGTAGCGATGGCCTCCACTCAGCGATGGCCTCCAACCTAGTAGCGATGGCCTCCACCTACCCTCCAACCTAGTAGCGATGGCCTCCAACCTAGTGGCGATGGCCTCCACCTAGTAGCAATGGCGTAGCTGCAGGTGAAAACTGCCAAATGAGAGCATTCAAAGCAAAAAAGACGTCCACTCCTCATCACTGCCTTTCCATGCTGCCGGCCAGCCCTGAGCGATCTGTGAAACAGGCCATGTCTTTTCACCAAACGAGATGGAAAGCGCGGATCGATTTGATCCGCTGTTTCTGCGGACGACCCTTGCTTAAAAACGGCAGGGAAATCACTGCTTCAACATGCTTTAACTTCCCAGACTTGGGGAAGGCCATCGCAAGTAGGTTGGAGGCCATCGCTACTAGGAGCTACTAGTCAAGGACGTTATTAGATTCCAAGGAACTGTGAGGAGCTCCAAGAGCACCACGCCGAAAGAAAAGACCTGGCGCTCAAAACAATGTCGCATTCAGCACCTTCTATTCGCAAAAAGAGAAAGTGCAAATGGTTTCGAAAGAGAAGGAAGCAATTTGGCAAGTTCTTCAATCAAAATGACCCTGCAAAAAACAGGGCAGTCTTGCATGACCCTTCCACCCTCTCCGCCTCTCCAAGTCCTAATTCCGCATGCTGGTCCTCTTCCACCCTTCCTCTCTGGTTCACCGTCTGCTTTCCTTCTTTTGCTCGTCTCGTGGGGATGCAACAAGGCCAAGTGTTCCAGCTTGGCACAAAGAACTCGATCGAAAAGAACTCAAGAGCTCAGACTCCAAGGCGCTTCGCAAGTATGAGGATCCCTGAGGAGCTTGGGTGCATAACAGTTGCCTTCCTTTTTCATGAAAACAATATGTTGTCTGTTGATTGTATACCCTCCTTTGGAGTCTCTGCCTCTCTGCACAGTAGCAGAAGGCAATGGTGGCGGTGTGCAAGTCCGGTTTCTGTGTCATCACCCTGCTACATTGCCACAGCCACAGCGACAGGCATCTCCAGGTCTTTCCAGGCACTCCGCCAGTCGTATGATGTCCTATGTCTACAAATCAACGAGCGTGTCGCAAGTCCACAGCAAGTCCTGTGGTGGAAATCTTAAAACTCAAAGGATGGTCCATCGCTTCTAGGGTGGAGTCCATTGCACTTAGTAACAAGAAGCTACTAGTAACAAGTGCATCGCTTCTAGTAACAAGTGCCTTACTAGTAGTAACAAGGACGCTACTAGGTTCCTTTTGCTTTAGAGGCCATTGCTATAACTCAAAGGATGGTCCACGTCTTCGGACACGTGGCTGCCTGATGGCAGCCCAAAGGCAGTTGGGGAAGTCTTCGGACCTATTTGCGAAGCTTCAGAACATTTCGGCGATGATTGAAAACGTGCACATATCCTTTGCATCAAAATATCGCCGGCTTTTCCGACTTTCCAGGTGCTCCACTTCATCTGCTTCTCCCAAAAAAACACTCGCAGACTACTATATAGGAACAAGGACACTAGTAGGGGCTCCGGGCCTTACTACTAGGAACAAGGACGCTAGTAGGTTTCAAATGGCAACATACTTTGGTTTTCTATCATGAACGTAGCCGACTTTAGCACCATTGGAAGGTTCGGTGGACTTAAAAGACATGCTTCAGAATCCACGTCTTGGGGCGATCACAATCGCCGAGGGGCGCTTTTCTGTGCTAAATCATGAGCATAGTAGCTTCTTGCTCCTAGTAGCGATGCACCTGTTCCTATTAGCATCGGTCACCTGTGAACTAGTGGATGTCAAACTATGTCGATAGAAATAAATGAGAAAAAAAGGACCGGAGTGATCCGAACTCGTTTCCAAGAACCGAACGTCTTTTTAAACAAGCACGGAAAAGAGCCAAGAGCGGTTCCGGTGTTCCGGTTCCAGTTTTGATCCTCGCGAAGACTCAGAGTGTGTCGTGACTCCTCTGAGACGTGGAGCGACCCACGGGAGGTGGTGCAGGGACCACTGGCCTTGGCAACTTGGTGTCTTTGTTACTAGTAGAGATGCACTTGTTACTAGTAGCATCCTTGTTACAAGTAGCGATGCCAGGAGCCCCTAGTACCTTCTTGTTGCTAGTAGCGATGCCCTTTGTTACTAGTAGCGTCCTTGGTGTCTTTGGTTTCCATTTTTGATGTTTCTTTTTTTCTTCAAATAGCCATGGCCTCCAACCCAATAGCTTCTCTTGGTTAAGTTTCCCTAAAAATCTAGGAACCAAATCATTAGTGCGAGCGCTATCCTGCGTCATAAGTAGTAGCTATTTATAAAAGCTACTAGCTACCTCTTCTACTAGCTACCTACCTAGCTAACCTACCTCCCGGCCTACCCCCCAAAAAAAATAAAATACCTATAGAATAGACAAGTAGCGTCCTTGTTACCACTAGTAAGGCACTTGTTACTAGAAGCGATGCACTTGTTCCTAGTAGCAAATAGACAAAAGAAAACAAAAAGCAAACAAAGCAAAGCCTATTGTTTCTATTTAGCTTCTTGTTTCTAGTAGTAAGGCACTTGTTACTAGTAGCGATGCACTTGTTCCTACTAGTTTCTTGTTACTGCAAAAAGCAAAGTCTACACCACCTGCGGACGAAGATGTGCTTCAATCGCAGGCTGAGCTCGTTCCGGCCCGTGGAGCCGACCTACAGTTTGAGGTGCCTGGTGCCTCTAATTCAATTGAAGAATCTGTGTCAATGACATTCATGTTCTTGATTCATTAATTGATTTAATTCAATTCAATTTGATTTGATTATGTGTTTCTTCATTTTTCATGTTCTTTCCTCAAGTTTATGTTTCATGCAGCTCGCATTAAAACGCAGAGCCATGATCCCTTCAGTGAAGAACACAGGAAAGGGGCTGAGTGCAAAGGAGGTGTCAGGCCTTCCGCTTCAACTCAACATTTCGCGCACAAGCAATCGCACTCATGATGCGAGGAAAGCCAAATGGTACAATGAAGGGGGGATCACCTCAGAGTCTGAATGCAAATCACTCTCGTTTTAGCATACAAATCGCATGAAAAGAAACAAAACAAGACGACCTAAATTGTTTGAAACAAAATCTCATCTCTTTTCTTGGCGCACCTGGGCGTCCCTTCAAGGATCCCTGGATCCATCGCCTCGGTTTGAGGGTTTTCGTCCTGTCGTGAGATGTGCCACACTCCCTGCCCTCAAGCTGGGAGCCCGACTTCAGGTCATCCCAGGCTCCGGGGAGGATGCATTCTTTCAAAAAAGTCTTCCGGCCTGGAAAGTGAAAGAAAGCTACGAACGGGGCTCCTGGCATCGCTACTAGGAGCAAGGACGCTACTAGGATCGAAAGGATTGCCAACATGGGAGATGCTGAAGCAGGCGACGGACTCTGAGTGTGGGACTCTTTTTCCAATGGTTGGTGTTCAGAGTCAGATTGATTTCATGTACTTCAAGACTCGCTTCATCTAGAAGAACCTGCACGGTGTGAAGAAAGAATGTCTCTGGAATCTGAATCAGAAAGGGCTCAGTCTGGACTGAGTGGTAAACCTCTCGTTCACCATTTACTCAGGATCACCTCTCGTTCACCTCGCCGGCACGCCTTGACCTCCCAAAGACTGCTGCAATTCGGCACGGGCGTCGCCTCAGCCATGTAGTAAAGGCTACTGTTCTTTATTCCCATTGAGTTTCCCTGTGTCCATATGTAGTAGCTTCCTATTACTAGTAGCGTGTTTACTCCCTTACTTGATTAAGTAGGCGCTTACTGACGTAGGAAGGCAGGGCCTCGGGCTAAAAAGGACGAATTGAATCTTCTTACTAGTAGTAAGGCCCTTGTTACTGGTAGCGATGCACTTGCTCCTAGTAGCTTATTGTTTCTACTAGCTTCTTGTTTCTACTAGCTTCTTGTTACTACTAGTAATGCCCTTGTTACTGGTAGTAATGCCCTTGTTACTAGTAGCTTCTTGTTACTACTAGTAATGCCCTTGCTACTAGTAGCGATGCCCTTGTTACTAGTAGCTTATTCTAATCACTAATTATTGTTTCTACTAGCTTCTTGTTACTAGTAAGGCACTTGTTGCTAGTAGCGATGCACTTGTTACTAGTAGCTGATCACCTCTTTGAATACCTTTCCCTTTTGGCGTCCACGCCCAAGAGTGTGTGGCCAGCGCTTCTGCCGTCAAGCGTGGTGGCTCCCCGTCCCGCGGAGCTGTCCCATTCTTGGCCAAAACCTTCTCGGCTTCCAATTCGCCTTAATTTGTTCGTCTAAAGGACCCTAAAAACGTGTCTAATAGCTTCTTGTTACTAGTAAGGCACTTGTTTCTAGAAGCGATGCACTTGTTCCTAGTAGCGAACCTTGTTAAAATACCCTAAAAACGAGCTCAAACGAGGTGACTCCGGTGACTTAGGTGACTTTCGATTCTCCCCACCTTCATCACCATCATTCAACTTCTCTCGCACCTCGCTCTTGCGAAACTCACCGCTCTTTTGGGCAAAGCCGTATTCCAAGTTGTTTCGTTCCGCCTTCTTTTGTTATCCCTTTTCAGGTCTCCATGATTCTCCACGTGGTTTCCCACCTCCGTGATCGCAAAGAAGAACTGCGGACCGCGTCTCCTTTCCTTGGGCATCGAACAGATGTGGATCTCCAAGTCCTGCCAGAACATCCCGAACACCTCCGATGATCCCCCGAAATGAAATGACAAAAAAGATCTGAAACACGATTCACTGTACCTCAAGTCAGCAAAAATGTTCAACTCATTTCAACTCTGTAAGTGGTGGTCTTGTTCCCAGGCCTCGAAAAAGAACGAACCTTTTTTACGCTCTCAAAGCTTACCAAAGGAGCAAGGCAATCCAAGGCATGTGCATCCAAGTCTCCTTCTGGCTATGGCGCTTGGAGACATTGAGGTTGAAAGGCGTTGGTTGTCCTACGCACAGAGAGCTTGGAGTTAAACATCACACAGCCGCACTGGGGCAGGGAACTAAACAGCAGAAGATAAAAGAAACACAAAAAAGACGGAAATCACGAAATCACATGACAGGAATCACAAAAAAAAGGAATACCATAGATCAATCAAGAAACTTCATATTATATAATACTAGTACTTTGTTTCTGCGTTGAAGGGTCCTTGCTGTTCCGCCAATTCGTAGGCAGACCGCAGCACATTCTGAAAGCGTTCATGGTCATCCTCTGCCAAGAGCTCAAGGAAAGATCGGCCCTCCAATTCTTCCGTCTTCGCTTGGACTGAGACCGCGAGTGGCAAAAACCGCAGGCTCCGGTTCGACCACAAAACACGAACACGTCAAAGCTGCTTCAAATTGCTTCCACTGCACCTTCACGTTCCAGAAATGTGATTGTTTCGTAACTCGGAACCAAGAACAAGAAGAAGAAGTATCCTTCGGTCCAAGTCACAGAGGTGCGCCAATTTGGGTGAAACCTTTCGTGCGATCATGTTGATTCGCTTTACCCAACAAAGGCAAGACTTTACCCATGGCAATCACTCCAAGAATGCTTCAAAAGCAAGGCTCTTATCAATTTCGGGTACCAGCAAGTCCTACACAAGGTTTCTGTCTTGGCTCGAGCACCCCTCCACTAATCTAGGTCAGTCATGGTAGGTAGATTGGCTTGAGCTGCATCCGTATTCTCCTTTTGAGACTAAGCACTTCTCAGCACTGCCAGAGCTGCGCATATCCGCTGTGCGCTCTACATAAGCATATTTCACAGCAACAGCTTAGGTGAGAGTCACGGCCCGAGCTGCCAGCCTGCATCAACTTCAAGTCTTTGTCCAGCTCTCCTTGAGCATCAGCTGCGGAGGCAATCACTGTCCGTGCAGCTTGTAGAGCAGTTTCCAAATCAGAGGCCGAAAGCATCAGCGAGATCCACTGCCTCAGCTTTAGCTGCTGCCGCTTCCGCTTCCGACTCCGAAAGTGGCGGAAAGGCAGCTGAGATGCCGTGCGATGACCTCGATCGCCCAAGGGATCAACAGGACACAAGTCGTCACCTTGGTGGAACGGGTGTCACAGGTTGAACTTAGGAGCCCCTAGTAGCGTCCTTGCTCCTAGTAGCGATGCCCTTTGTTCCTAGTAGCGTTCTTGTTCCTAGTAGTAAGGCCAGGAGCCCCTAGTAACGTTTTTGCTCCTAGTAGCGATGCCAGGAGCCCCTAGTAGTTTCTTGCTCCTAGTTGAACTTGTACAAGGTTGCTTGAACTGGCCAGGGCGGTTGCTAAGGCTTCAAAAGGTGCACTTTTTACACATCATGATGCTGCATGCTCATTGCCTTGGCAGATTTGCCCAGACACGCAAACCTCCTGGACGAAGATCATCAGACCATCTGAAATTGAGAAAGTCCCAAACAAGAAGTGTAGTCTGCGAGCCTCTCATCAACTGCCGATCACTGAAAGGGCTTCGAAAAGGGCTCAACGGAAAAAAGAGCGTCAATTGACTGTCCACCACCATGTCAATTCCGAGCTGCACTGAAGAGCACATTAATACAAAGGCCATGTCGAAGATCCAAAAAGGCCAGAGATCCGATGATCCTCCCAATCATCACATAAGGCCTCAGGCAAGAGATTAGGTTGGAGGCCATTCTTATTAGGTTGGAGGCCATCGCTATTAGGCCTCAGGTAAGAGATTTGTTCACGTTGTTCCTTTCTTTGGAGGCAAAGATTGTTCAGGTGTTCAGAAGCATGAAGCATTGAATAATACAATCCTCAAACCACCCTAGTTACTCCACTTCCAACTTCCCACAATACGTCGTGCCTGGTTCTTCTTGTCTCTTGTTGTGTCTTATGTCTCTTCTTGACTGCTCTTGTCTGACTGTCCTTTTGGCTCTTCCGGTCTGTTTCACTACCCGCTGCTCAGCGGCTCCAGCTTCAGAGCATTGGGGGAGAATGCCAAGGACAAGGTGATCAAATTGAAGGCATACCTTGCATAACCGGCATAGTCGGCATTCGGCTGTTGGATCGTAAGAAACAAAGGAACCGAAATGAATGCTACGGACAAAGGACAGGAACAAGACGGATTCGAGATCGCCAAAGTTCAAGAGTCCGCTATGGAAAACAGCACAGACTCCTTGCCAAACGATCAGCGTGTAGGTGTGGTAAATCTCGTCTGCAGGAAGGTATTCCTGCGGTCTTCGGGGACGGTACATTAAGTGATCTTTTGGTCTTTTAGAGTCTACAGTCTACATGTTTCTTTGGATCTTTCTTCCGATGTCTCTTTCTTTTGATCTTTCTTCCGATGTTCATGGTTTCTTTTCTGTAAACCTTTCTATTGTTTTTCGTTTTCACATTTGTTTCTTTAGACCGTCCTTCCTGCTGTTCCTGTTCTCTTTTCCTCGAGTAATATTTCAATGTTTAGTCCTTTAGAGTCAACTGTCAAAGTCACTGCACAGAATTAAATTAGAAACAAGAAGCTACTAGGAACAAGTGCCTTACTCCTAGTAACAAGTGCCTTACTAGTAGTAACAAGGACGCTAGTAGTAACAACAAGCGTTTCGCTGCTCGTGCAAACGTTGCTCAACCCACCCAGAGGTCCGTACCATAAGTCCAAATCCGGAGGGTGTGCACACCCAGCAATAGCAGGCCCAGCGCCCCACAACCATCCAAAATAACCATCCGAGCAAAGTTCCTGGACTTGAAATGCAAATCGTTCGTGGGACCCTTTGGCAGGTTGTCTTTCCGGGTTCCAACGACATCCACATCGAAAAATGTGGTCAAATGCGTACGGCCTTCTCAGTGCTCTGAACTGTCGCGCCGCTTCTTCCTCTACCTGGCAAAGTGTTGAGCTCTGAGATGTAGCCATCTGTAGCGTTTTCTGGCAGACGAGTGACTCCACCACATAATACATGTACAGTCGTATGCTGGTATGCATATACATTTGTCCACCAGCCTCATGGCTGAAATTCAGCTGCTCTCCCTTTAGAACAGAAAAGTTGGGAGATGCGCGCTGACGGAAATAGTTCCAGTCCTTAGCTCAAGAGACGGAAGAGATCATTTTGGACCCCATTGATCTGTTAAGTTCCCTTAAAGATCTAGGAACCAAATCATTAGTGCAAGCGCTTCTTCAAGGAAACTCCCCCCCTTTTGTGGGGTTTGCAAGGAATCCCTACAGCATTTTGTTGAGGGATGCAATTGTCTTCCACCTGCACCGATACAACCCGCGACTACCTTCTACTTCGGGCCTAACTTTGCCATGCTAGGTGTGGCTGAGCTTCCTTGTGCAACAATACAGGACAAGATGTCTGTGTCAAACCCTGCTGAACTCCACGTTCAGGATTGGACGTGTGTGGTGCAAAACAGTACTCATGTGTGGACAGATGGATCTGTCCAGCTTGCCAAGTACCCCTGGCTTACACTAGCTGCCTTTGCCGTGGTCGCAGAGGACTTGTCCTTGATTGCTTCTGGCCGTGTGCTTCATTGGAGGCTTTCAAGCTACAGTGCAGAGTTGTGGGCGGTACTGGTAGCATTTGCCAACGCTACCCAGCCCTTGGTTGTTCATTCGGATTCGCTCACGATCGTACAGCAATTTGCTGAACTGCAAGCCTCAGATCGGGTTCAGATGGAGTGGACGCACGTTCAATGGTGGGTTTTTTTGCTAGCATTGATTCACAGGCGTCGTAGTGAGTATGACCCACCCCTTCAACTTGTTTGGTGCCCAGCACACCTTTTGGAGCATCTCCCAGTTGAACAGATCAGTGAACAACAAGCACTGGCAGCTGGTTCTACGCTCCAAGATATTTGTGCTAATCGCAAAGCTGATGAGTGCGCTAAACTGCAGATTCAGGCTGATGCATTGAAGCTCAAGGCTGATCAGCAAATGAAGGAGGCTGACATATTTGCTCGCCAATTATGGCTCTCCAAGCTCAACAGGGAGTGTAAGAAGCCTGATACTGCGAGTCAGGCTGCTTCCATGGTCCCCACTGCACCAATGGAGCGGCTAACGCCACGTCAGCTATGCCCAAGATGGGCTTGGGATAGCCAGCAGGCCACCTATACATGGCAGAATACAAATGCACTGGACCTTCCGGGCCCTACAAAGCCGCCACTTACAGGCACAAATTTCCGTGTCTTCTTGGACTTCATGAACTCTGTTCACTGGAAGCTTGGGGATGGATTGTCTTGCTCGACCTTCGAACTTGCTGCCTCCGCCTTTGTGCATGGTTGGAGGTTTGAATTGCCCCAGGGAACAATCTGTTCCCCACAGGCATACGCCACCATTATTCGAGCAGGAATTGCTTTCTGCAAAACCAAACAGATTGTGGTGGCGCCTTTACTTCTCGATAAAGGAAATAAGTGCAATGGGAAGACCTTCCCGAAAGGCGTCTTTCGAGGCGCTGAGGCCTTTCTTGACAATCGCGCACTTGAGCTCCTCTCCCGTGCTTTTGAGAAAAAGGCCAAAGCAACCCCGTTGTCCTGGGCAATGGCCTTTGATACACTTCTCTAGTGTGACCTGGGATGTACATATTGATGGGAACTTGACCCTTGACGCAGAATGCTCATAGGTCGTCATTGACCACGTCAGATGGCTTGAGAGAAAAAAAAGGGAACTCCCCCCGCCGCCTTTAGGGCGGGGGGGAGCTTCCTTGAAGAAGCGGGAGCTATGCAGGATCCAGCAGGTAGGAGTTTCCTATTGCTAGTCAAAGGAAGTTAGTGAACAAAACTTCCGTGTTACGGACATTCAAGAACTGTTCATACTCCACTCATCATACACCACTCATCATACACCACTTATCATACACAACTCATCATACACCACTCATCATACTCCACTCATCATACACCACTCATCATACACCACTCATCAAACACCACTCATCATACACCACTCATCATACACCACTCATCATACACC